CCATATCTATTCATTTTTTCATAAGGGAGGGGGGATATTTAACCCTAATATTAAATGAGCTGCACGTATATATATCTATAAACCCTGCGGGGGGTTTAGTTCACATTTTTTCAAGATTAAAAATCGGTTTAAAACCCACAAAGCGTACTAGTACTACTGCAGTTAATAGATTACAAATTGGCCGTTGAAATTTTCAGATTTATACAAGTTTATTTTTGGATTGAAATAACAAAATTTTTCCGGAAAATTAGACACGGCCGTGTACGGAAATTAAACTTTTAAGTTATAGGTTGAATGCACAAACAGTGAGACCCAGATTAGGAAGACGACATTGAAACAATAATTAAGCCTATTTTATATTGTTACAAAGCAAATTGTTTCATAAATAACTTATCAAATCACTTATTGAGTGAAATTGGTTTGTTGACACTGCACGATGGCTTGTCTCATGTTTAATGGAATTTATTAAAACAAACTTTGAGTCTAAAAGTCGTCTTTATATTCCAGAGTTTTCTGATTCTCAATGTTTTTATTAAATATTTTTGTATAAATATCTTAATTATTGTAATTGTGTAGTTAATAATGTAATTATACCAAATGTAAAACAATATTGTAATGTTTGTATTATACTGAGGAAATTAGAGCTAAATTGGAACTTCTTTTCAAAAAAGTTATTTTGCCAAATTTTAAACTTTTTTTTGAGATTTGATAAAATTCACACCGTGGTCACACAGGTCTGCCGCTTTAGTAATTGTAATATGGTGGTACAGTCCATACTAGGGCCGCAAAGGTTGGCTCAGCTCGGATATTCAAATTTACATCCATATATTTTATTCTCCTTGTGTACACCAGTGCACAACTGATAACCAAAAAAACAATGGAATAGGAAGACGACGTTTTCTTGTTGTAACTGTATGAGAAATTATTCTTTATTCATCGATAAATATAAATGTCGTCTTCCAGATACAGCAGCTAGAAAAACTAAGGTAAAAGGTTAAAGAAGTAATAAAATGTGACATCTAAATTTATACTGGATATTATATTTATATATTTATGATAATAGATATAATATTTATATAATATTTGTACTGGATATTATCTTCTAATTTCAGGCAAATTGAACAACATAATCAAATGCCCTAAGTGTATTCGAATAAGGACTTCATAGTAATTTTTTTTATAATTTATATTATTTTATAGATTTTTATAAATTGGTTATACGTAGTTAATACAGAAAATTCTAATTTGATTATTCTTATCAACATTTCTCTCCTTCTTCCTTCATTTTTTCTTTATTTCTGTTCACAATTTGTGTAATGTACAATTACGCGTATACAATTACCTATTCTGAATATTTCTTATTCAAATGGAGTACCGTCTGCAAAGTATGTACAATCATATGGTAGGGCGGACCGCGTCAGTTGCATTTCCCTTCTATTTCATACTCCTTGCTCGTAGCTCATCTAGAATATTGACACTACGCACAATGATGAAAAAAGCTAAATATTAGAAATTCAAAACATTGTTCTTATCAAAATCTCAAAATTTGAACACGGATTATGATTGAAAACATTTTATAGATTTCTAACGTACAATTTACTTTAGTTTGACAAGAACTATATATTAGAGGGGAGTGAATTTTAGAATTGTATAATTCATATGTAAAAAACAATTCTTAGAACAATTTCTTTAATGCCACTTTTTGATTGTAGGTCGTATTCGTTAGCTAACTGGCACAGTAAGTTCTGACCTTTAAGCCTTCTTATGAGATCTGTGATTTCATAGTACACAAGCAAAATGCTCCCAATGATAACAGCGATAGTCAATTTCTGCAATGCTGCAGATATAAATGCTTTACACATAATTTCTAGAAATGTAATTTCTAATAGATCAGAAGTTGTCTTAGTTCAAGTGGGCTCTATTAATTTTTGATCAAATTAAATTGTGTTTTAAACACATAATGATACAAATACATGGTTACCCACAAAATATGAGAGTTTGAGACAACTGTACGGACTGTATACTGTTTGTTTCCTTAATTACATTAATAATTATCTGCAATTTTAAACTTATTTCTTTTTTTACATTAGGCAGAAGACTTTGGAATATTTAAAATGTTGTAATGTTGTTTTTACAGCCTCATTCTTTGTTAGAAACCCTTTTATAAGTGTATAATTATGTTGTAAATATATTTATCTTATTAAAAGATAAAAATCTAAAAAAGTGAAAGATTAAAGTTTCTGAAATAAATCTGGATATGTAAAGATTCTAATATCTACAATTTACAATATGAATAAATGTTTATTCAAAAAACTTTATACAATTAATAGAAAACATCTAATTTTTAAGATTTACTCTGATTTTCAGATTTCATCTCAACTGCTCGATCAAAGGGTTTAACAAATATAGAAGGGAAGTATAAATCTCTAGGAGTAGATATCTCTAGGAATAGATATCTCTAAGAGTAGATATCTCTAGGAGTGATATCTCTTAAAGTATATATCTCTTGGAGTATATATCTCCAGGGTAGATATCTTAAGAAGTAGGTAGCTCTAATAGTAGATATCTCTAGGAGCATATATCTCTAGAAGTAAATATCCCAAGAAGTAGATATCTCTAGTAGTAGGTATCTCTATAAGTAGATATCTCTAGGAGTATATATCTCTAGGAATATATATCTCTAGGAGTAGATATCTCTTGGAGTAGGTATCTCTTGGTGCAAGTATCTCTTGGTGCAAGTATCTCTTGGTAGGTAAATTTAAGTACCTGAAAAATGTCAAGGATCATGAATCGTCAATTTCTCTCTGAGAAAAAGCAACGCATTGTAAAAAAAAATACAGATATTAATCATCGAATTCTGTTTTAAGTATATATTTCATTTAGTAACCATATGTATATAAATCTTTATATACTCTAAGACATAAAAAGTAAAATGGCTGAACCCGAGAGAGAAGTAAATCATACTTAATATAAATAATATGTCTGGCAAGAAAGTTAAATTCAGTTTTTGCGAACATTTTTCCACCAGAAAATTAATATAATGTTTTTATTCAGATCCTTTCGGTCTACTTTTAATTTTTACAAACAGCCAATTCTTCCTTACAATGATTTTTATAATGTTAAATAAATAAACTGTAACTTGAACATTTTTTTTTGCAGTTTTGATTCTCACTTGAAATATAGGGTTTCACTCTAACTTCTGAAAGCTAAATCAGGAATATTTGAAAATACTTGTGCAAGTTTTTAATGCAGTAATTTTGCATCTGAAAGATACATGAAAAGTGACAGGTATAAAAACCTACGGAGATAAATTACTGTGCTTTTCCTCTCATTTATAATCTTAACGAAGAAAACCTGATTTGATTTCAGAATTTAAATAATTTCAATCAATCAATCAACTAAACCAGGCAACTAATTCATAATTTAGTATTATTAGAACACTTAAATAATTAGTTTTCACAAATCAACAAACTCCACCACATTTCAACAAAAAAAGAGCTAATTGAGACAAATTATTTTTTTAGTTGCGTGTTGCCTACTTTGTTAAATTTTTGAGAAAGCTTGGGAAAGCTAAATATTTTAAAGTATTCCGGCCTACCTGGAAAAATGTGACCTAGAGTTATCCCCAAAGTTGAAGAAGATTAAAACCGTCTATATGTCCTTGTTGCTGATGCTGGTGGGGTCACAGTAGGTCTAGGGGTCACTGTTGTTGCTCCAGGCCTTGTGGGAGCTGCTGTGGCTACAGCTCCTGGAGCGGCTTTATCAAAATATTTATCAAATGCAGCATTTGCATTTCCGGGTGGTCCAAATGGAGTTTTCTTTTCCTTTTCTCCTCCTACACGATCCTTACTAACTGAGCGGGCTCTTTGAATGATTTTACTAGCTGTTGACATTTTTGAGGAAGAAGACATTTTACTCTGTTGTGACACAGAACTTATGTCTGATCCAGATCCAAACTCTTTCTCCTCATTAGTCCGCTCCGTGGACAAGCTTCGTCCGATCTTTTTCAGTTTGCCTAACAATCCTTTGCTTTTCTTCTTCTCCCCTGGTAGCCATTCACTCTGGGTAGATTCCCTTGAGCCAGTAGATAATCTGTCTACACTAGTGTCACGCTCTAGTCTTCGTATTGTCATAGCATTGTATGTATCACTTGAGTATCCAGACTCAGAACCACCTCTAGCACTACGGGTTCGGACAGGTATGGGAAGTGGAATGGATGCATTGGAAGCCATACTTTCATTACTACCAAGAGATTCCTTGCTCTGCCAGATATTCCCAGATTCTGACATTCCATCTCCCATGGACACAGCCTTTCTATACATAGCCCTCTTTTGAGAGCTTGCTGAGTGAGAGGCATTTCTCATTCCAGATCTGCCTCTTGGAGATTCTTCATTAATTGTTTCTATTGATTCTCCTCGCCTTGATCTTCTTTTCATTTCTTCCTCACTGATTTTATGAAGCTGTTCTAATTCTTCTTTAGTTTCTTTAACTCTAAACAGAGCAGTTTTAAACTCCATCTTGGCTAGACTTTTTTCATTGTCAAGTCTGGATGATCTGCTGTTCTTTTCATCCTTTTCCAGGATATCATTACCAAGAAGTTTTGGAATAACTGTGAGGAACTCATCCATATCACTAAGAAGTCGTATAATCTTCTTTTCTTCCCCATACTCAGATCTAGATTTACTCTGAAAATATAAATTTAATCAGCATTAAATATATTTTTAATTGGCATGTGAAATTTGTTTTTAAATATTCCAAAATGTAGCTTGTTGACATGAAATATAGGAATTAAATACTAAGTCATGAAGTTTGAAAAAGTCTGAGTTGTAATTTTATATACCTGGACTCTGACATCATCCACTGATCTATCTTTATCTCTTCGAAGCTTTTCATTTGTTGTGCGCAGTTTTGCATGAGCATCTCTAAGCTCTAGCAAATCATATTGTAGATCTGTAATCTGCTTTTTAGTATCATCTTGCTCTTCTTCAAAGGATCTCTTCATAGCCTCTATTTTTCTCTTACCATCTATTCTATCACGCTCCTTTTCTTTTTCTACCTCAAGTAAAGTGCTTTTCAAATCTCTTGCCATGGTGTTGAGCTCATTAATTAACTTCTTTTGAGATTCTCTTTCCTTTTGCCAGGCAAGTTCCATTTTGGTTCTTGTTCCGGCAATCCTTGCTCTACCTGAGTCAATCAATGCCTCTTCTTCCATTTCATTGATTTTAGAGTTAAGTTCAGCAATTTGAATTTCAAAGTTAGATTTTGTAGACATCATGTTTGCTTGAGCTTTGGCTGCCTCCATTTTGGCATCTGACAATTCGTCTTCAAGTACATGAAGCTGGTAAGACATATCTGATATTTTGCTTCTGCATTGAACAAGTTCTGTGGCAGCATCTCCGGCAGTAATTTTTCCTCCTTTAGATTCAGTAAGCTTTTTCTGGACACCCTCAAACATTTCCTTATAAGTTTCTCTTTCTCGTCTGTACTTGGATGCCTGGGATTTTAATGCATGAATTTCTTCTGTCATAATAGCAATCTTACTGTCATACTTCATCTTAGTTGTATTTAAGTCTGACTTTCTCTCTCTTTGCTCTGTTGTTAGCTGCTTTTTGAGATCTTCAATTGCTGCAGATGTATCTGCAGATGAGCTACTATCATTTGCAGATCTACCATATCTATTCATTTTTTCATAATCTTGAAGTTTTTGCTTTACATCTTCAAGTTCTTTTTTTACTGCGGAATGTTGACTTCTTGCAACATCACATTCAATCTTTAGGTTTGTGATTTGACTGTCTCTATCATCTAAAATTGATTTAAACCTATTTCTTTCCACATCCCAACCATTGCCAGCGGATGAACGAATAGACTGTTCAAGCTCTTTAATTTTCTTTTCCAGATCTAGCTTCTCTTTTATCCATTCATCGGACTTGGAATTGTAGGTGTGTCTTAATGTTGACAACTCGCCTTGAAGGGTTGTATAGTCTTCATCCTTGCCATTTATAGATTTAGACTTTAGAATAACATAGTCTTCCTCAAGTTGTTCATGTTTTGCTGACAGATTTGTATTCTCTTTCTTCAAAGTTTCAATTTCTCGTTTCAACTTATTAGTCTCCCAACTTGGAGCACTTGCAGAATTATTTGAAAGCTGATTCTCTAGTTCTTTCAATTTAGACTCTGCGTTATCAAGCTTTTCTTGCAGATCTGATTTATTTTCATATTCCGCAGTTTCTATTTGCTGTTCTAGCTTCTCAATTTTATCTTTGCGCTGCTGGTTGATCCTTTTGGATTTTGAAAGTTTTTCCTCCATATCAGTAATTTTTTCTTCAGCATCCTTCAACTTTTTGGTCTTGTCTTCCATGTCGCTGACCTTCCTATCTATTTCTCTTCTTAGGTTAGATAGTTCTGTATCAGAGGATCTGGCTTTTTCATCCAACTGTCTTTTAAGTTCTCTTGTTGATTTCTTTTCATCACTCAAATCTTGTTTCAATATATCAATTTGATCTTTGAAAGCTTTCATTCCTTCCTGGGTCTGGTTTAGGTTCTCTCTGTTTTTCAGTCTGGCACTCTCAGATTCATCCTTATATCTATCTTTCTCACGTGTTAAAGACCTTATATCAGTTTCTACACGACTCAGTTGAGTCTCCAATCTAGACCTTTCCTCTTCGGCTTTACGCTTTTCTCTTTCAGCTGCAATCAATTCTCTTTGGGCTTTATCAGCTTTTTCAGTTGCACTGCTGAGATCTCTCTCCATTTTCTCATACTTCCGTTTGTCAGCATTTATTGCATCCTTCAGTTTGTTGACTTCTGCTTCTGTAGCTGTTTTCTCTCTCTTTAGCTTATCAAGTTCTAAATTTGTTTTCATGGAACTTTTTCCAGAATCCTCTAGCTCTAGGATTTTTTTGTTAGAATCTTTCAGTTTAGTTTCCAAACCTTTAACTTTCTCTTCTAAAGAAAATTTATCCATCTGGAGTTTTTCTTGTGTGCTTGCTGGCTTCTTTCCATAACCAGAATGCATTTTCTTGTTTTCAGTTTTCAAATTATCATTTTCCTGCTCAAGCTCAGCTGTCTTTTTTCTTAAAACCTCCGCTTCCTTCTCAATCACATTCAGTTTCTTTAAAAGATCTTCATCCTGAGAACTGGAACGCAAAAGAGTTTTTCCACTTCCTTTACTAGACTTTACCTGTGCATCAAGCCTCTCTATTTCACGATCCTTTTCAATAAGTTTGACTCTGAAAGTATTTATTTCTGTTTGAAGCTCATCAATTTTCTTCTCTGCTTGATTATTATCCTGTTTAGAGGTGTGTCCATAAGAATGTGTGCTAGCTGGCTTCTTCTTTTTCTCTTCAGCCAGCTTTGTGGTGATTTCCTTGACTTCTTTTGTTATCTTGATGTTTTCAGTCAGCAAATTTTCAACCTTTTTGCGTAACAATGTAGTTTCCCCCTCAGACACTTCAAGTTGAACTTTTAACTCAGCAGGGCTTAGCTCTTCCCCATCTTCACTGATACCTTCATCTTTTTCAATATATGAATTTCTTCCATAAGGACTCGGGCTTCTTCTTTTGTTCTTGGAAGCCATTTTCTTAACTTGTGACGCTAATGACTCATTTTCATCCTCTAGCCTTGACATTTTTTTCCTCATTTCACCAGATTCATCTTCAGCCATATTAAGCTGCTCTTTCAAATCGTTTTCCCTTTCTATTGAGTCCTGAAGATCTTTCAAAAGCTGGTCTTCAACATTGCGCTCAACAGAACCCGTTCTACTTAAAACAGGTCCTGGTCCTCCTTTTCTAGGTCCACTAATAGATGCAGAAGATTTGCTAGCCTTATTTTCAGATTCCAGTCTGCTTATCAACATATTTTTACTCTCTAATTCTTTTTCTAATGCTCTTATTTTATTAAGGTTTTCTAGTGCAGATGAGCCTCCACTCATACTTTTTAGTTTTGATTCTAAATCTGCTTTTTCTGAAGTTGTGTCTATTAAAGATTTTTCAGCTTTCTTCAGTTTAAATTGCAAGACTCGGCAATTCTTTGCATGGTTTTCCAATTCTCTTTTAAGAGTTCTGTATTCATCAACTTCATCTTCTCTAAAATTGTCTTGAACCTCCTCTAGCTCCACTTCTAATGTTTGAACGTTACCACGCAAATCATCATTGTCATGTGTAAGATCTTCACACTTTTTCTCCAAATATTTCAACTTGGTTTGCAGTTCGGATATTGTTTTCTGGGTTTCAGATACCTGAGGTCTTCTTTCCAGAGTTGATTCCATTTCTTTTAGCTTAAGACCTAATGCTTTTCTCTCTTTGTCCAAACTAGACAGCTGTGCTTCTTGTTCACTTATTTTTTGCCTAGCCTTTAAAAGTTCTGAAGTTGCCTCTGATGCTTTGGCAGATTCCAGAGTTAATGGTTTCTTGGAGCTGGGATCAGAATTAAATTTTTCTAAAACTTCGTTTCTGCTCTTCAAAGCTTTCAGTTCATTTTTTAAAGCCTCAACTTCAGATTTTGAAATTGAATCATGATCACTGTCAGAATGAGCATAGGTTACTGCAACTGAATTGCTTTCAGAGTCACTTTCACTTGTTTTTCTAGAACGTGACCAAGATTTGGGGTTTGCCTGGGTCTCATTAAGACTGGGTAAAGTAGATTTTGCAGCAGCAGATGGCTTCTCCCAGGGCTTTCTTTTCACCACAGGAGCTTCATCTATTGGTTTAGCATCTCCAGGTTTAATAGAGGAGGATGTAGAGGCTGCAGAGGATCCCCATTTTCTTGTTGGTTTTTCTTCAGGTTTAGCCTTGACTTTTTCTAATGCTTCCTTTGCTTTGAGCTCTTCTTCTTTTCTCTTATTTTCTCTTTCTTTTTCTCTTTGCCTAGATCTTTCCTTCTCTGCATCTTCCTCTTTTTTCCGCTCTTCTTCTCTCTTCCGTTCCCTTTCCCTCTTTCTTTCTATTTCTTTCTTTTCATCATCATTTCTCCTTTTTTCCTCCTCATCTTTGTCTTCTTGTTCCTTTTTCCTTTTGAGATACTTTTCATAAGGAGTGAGTTCTGGTTCCTTTTCTGCAGGTTTAGACCAACTTGATGCTGATGTTGGAGCAGAATAATCTTTACTCTTTCTATAAGATGATGTTTCATCTTCTGTCAGATTTGTATATGAGGATGAGGGCCTAAGATTGGATGCAGAGCCCCAACTTGTCAGACGTGCATCTTGATCATACGATTTATTAACATATGAGGAATGTAATGTTGTCCCTGGTATAAAACCAAAGTTTCTAGATTTGGCCTCCTCCTCCTCCTTCTCCTTCTTCCTCCTGTCCAGCATATTCTTTTTCCATTCTGGGATATCCTCTTCTGTCTTGTTTTGTGAGAGGGTAGAGGCAGCTGTAGTGTATGATGCAAATCTTGAGGATGCTGATGAACCAGACTCTATTGTAACATCTACTGACTTGCTCTTCTGGAATGCACTCTTCTTTGCTGTCCAGGGATCCTCCTCTTCACTTTTACCCAAGTTGCCAAACTTCTTCTTATCCCCGCTGTCACTATGCTCTTTGTAATCTCTAAAGATACATTCAGGATCTGTGTTGGAAAGGAATTTAAACAAATAATGCAAACAATGTACAAATTTAGGTCAAAATTAAAAGAAATAAGTTTGAATGTCATTCCTAAAGCATCTTTTACATCTAGTCGGCCATCTCACTTGAGGATGAAATCCAAGTGGGCACAGTGGATCAGACGACTTGCCATAAGTGGCTCCTGTTGAGGAGGTATTAATAGGCATGACTGATGTGGTTGTCTAAAGAAAGCTAAATACTAGTTGGAGAAGTAGAACAGCTGTACAAGCAAGAGCAACGCCAATAAACTTTAATCGATCATCAGAACTAAGATGGTTACAGGAGCCAGACTCAATCTGAAAAATAAGAAATCAGACAAAGAAGTGGTTGGTAGAATAATCCAATTACTGACAACAAACTAATATTTTGAAATTCTATTTTTGCAACTGGATGGCAGACCTTTGATTTTTAAGCTTTGGCCATTTGAGCGCACACAATTTTAAAGGTCTAGGTTAGTTGTTCATAAAAAATAAAGATTTTCCTTCAAATTGTCCTACCTCAGTTTTAAACATTGGGCTCACAGGGAAGTACTCATCATTTCCAGTGAATTCTAACTTTAAGGATAAACTGTCTGGTGGTGGTCTGGCAGTATTGATAAGAGAGCGTTAGTGTTACATTTAATAGATGGAGTATAGAAAAGAGAAGTTGAAGCTGAGTTGGGGTTGGGTTCAATGAGAACAGAATGAATCTTGCAACAAGCTTTCTCAACACACTAGGCAAACCTAAAAATATAAACTTGAACAAATGTATACTCGGAGAAAGCATTGTCAGATTCAATGTAAAGCCTGCGCTAAATATCTCTATATATTGAATAAAAGGATAAGTGTTTGTAGATGCTCAAAATGTATAATGTCTGTAAACACAATTTTCTCTAATAGAATGTTCTCTGTTTATTCTTTCTACTCTTTTATACTTTTCTTTTTAGTTATTTATTTTATGCAAATACTATAAAACTGTAAGGCCTATTTTTTCTGTTCTTACACCCTGTCCTAGATTATTGGTTAAAGATTCACAATTTAGATTTTAAATTTGCATGTCTTAAGTGTTGCTTAAGTTTGTTTATTATTGCAAACTAGATTTTGATGAAGGAGAAGAGCGTTTTGAGGAAGTTAAATTTTGTGCTTAGGAAAGCAGGTAAATAAGCTGACCTCTAATGCAAACCCCCCATCCCCTGTTCCCCATATTCATGGTATTAAACAATACAACATTTTTAGTTTTTTCGATGAAATTTGATTTTGGAAAAAGAAATTTCACTGTCTTAGAAAATTTATTTATAAAGTAACTTTAAACACTTCAAAAAATATTATTAACATTTTTTTAATCACTACAACTTTCAAATTTGGAGTCAGTCTAGTTTATTGCAACCTAATTTTTTGCTAACAATTATTTTGCAGATTAGTTCTTGAGTTTTGAATTAATTTTCCCCCTTAAACAATCTGGAAATGAAATGTGCACATTGTCCATAGAAAATAATTTTCCACTGTGTCCCAAGATAATTAAGGACAGGATATCCCGAAAAAACGTAATACACTAGCTAAAAATCTATTTTGGACCAATATTGACGATTTTGGAAATGGAAGCTATTTGCTAAATATTTCTTATCGAATGGTGTGAACTAGAGTCTTTAAATTTCATTGAAGTTTGAAGCTTTTGAATAAAATAAACATTTAATTAATATTAAACACAGTAATTCAAATATTAATTCTGACATGTATTAAAAATACAGTATAACTTTTATAGCTTTATGTTATGAATGTTTACACTGGAAAATTTAAAATTTCTTGATATGGCCGCTATTAATGGCTAGGAACTTAAATGCTCCGCCTCTAACATTTTAAATATTATTAGCTACAAGCCTACAGTACAGAATGATTAAAGGCTAACGTTTATACATCGTTTGATCCGACATTTTTAGAAAATATCAAAAATCGTCAATATTGGTCCAAAATTGAGGCTACCACTACGGGGTTTTTAGGACACCCAGTATAAAGGATTTATGCGATGTTTTAAGCCGAAATAGTTTTACAAATACAACAGTGGCAGCTTGCTCAACTCTTGTAAAACAGTCCGCAAATGACACACATTAAGAGGATGTAGTAAAATAAACATCTTATAAATACCTAAGAAGTTTTATTTTTTTTCAACTATGAAGCAGATTACACGCTTCAAATTCTAATTTTCCAATCCTTTCACTTGATTATTTTAACCGTAGACCTTTGATTTGAAAAATCAAAGATTACTCCATCAGGATGCGAACATATAGGGATTAAAATTATTACATTTTGTAATCACATTTTAGGAGAAAAAAAATTAACCTAATCGCTGAAAAGAAAATTACAGATCAAGAGTTCAGATTTTACTTTTGAACTAAGAATAAATTTTATTTTTATTTAAAAATGAGATTATTTTTAGAACTAAAAATGTCCAAAAATATGATAAAACCCTGAACATACAAACAAAGGAGTGGATAAAAAACGCCCAAAAACAAAATGTCCAAAAACAAAACACCCAAAATTACACATCACCCAAAAACAAAACGCCCAATGTTACAAATCGTCCAAGATAACAAAAGGCCCAAATTTACAAAATGTTCAAAGTTACAAAATGTCCAAAATTACAAAATGCCCAAAATTACAAAATGTCCAAGTTTATTAATTATCCAAAGTTACAACTTTTTGGTTCTTTTGTACTATTTTTATGTTCATTTGACCTGGTCTATAACATTATTGACAAGGTCTTAAACATTGATGCACCTTTATATAGCTGTCTGTATCTATGTTGGGGTTAATCCTTACTTCAAACAAACTAACTACTAAGTTACAAAATATCCAGAGATAAAAAGTCTAAATGTCCAAAATTGACAATGTCTTACATTGTCTAAAAATGTCTTGCATTGATTAGTAAATGTGGTATATAACATTTTGTATCTTAGTAATTTGCATACTAAGTATCTTGTATCTTAGTATCTTAGTAAGTAGGGATTTTTTTTTTTTTTTTTTTTAAAAATACTAGTTTTTAAGTTGTAATTAAACATTTTATTATTTTGACATTTTTAGAAAATTTTGAACATTTTGTAATTTTGGACATTTGGATATTTTGTAAGTTTGGACGTTTTGTAACTTTGGACATTTTGCTATTTGGGCTTTTGTTGCTTTGGACATTTTGTAACTTTGGACATTTTGAAATCTTGGGTGTTTTGTTTTTGGGTTTTATGTTTTGGGCGTTTTGTATCCACTCTCAAAAAAATGCTTATGCAGTGCAGAACAGAACATTGAGTTATTAAATTACAAAATTAAAAGAAATATTTATTTGACAAATTCACCAAAATTCCCTGAATTGCAGCCAGAGAGAATATTTTATATTTAAATAGTTTTTATATAATCTGTATTTTTAAGTGATGAGTCGTTATTCTGAATAATTTTTTCACACATAAAGAAGCCTTTTCAGTAAGCATTTTTTTAACTTAAAAAAACAAGAATTTTTTTTTCAATTGTTTAAGACATTTTGAACAGTCAATTCAAAAAAAAGGGGGGGGGCAAAGAGAAAAATTTGGTGAACACCACTCCCAAGGGGCGGATACAAGGGGGGGGGGCATTCGCCCCCCCATGCCCCCCTGACAGATTCAGGGAGGGGCGTAGCCCCCCCTCTGAGATTTTGAGGCAAAAAAAGTTCCCAATTTGATAAATGTTATTGTTAACGATAAATTTAGCAGAAAGGAATTGAGTCTTTGCCACAAATTCAGTTTTTGTAAAACCTATATCTTTGCAACCTTATGATGTAAACCTTTGATATTTCAAACTTACATTATTTGATCTAATAGCATTCATAGTTTGAAATATTAAAGGTCTACGACATTGGGTTGCAACGATATTAAAATTAGAAAATCAGAGTTTGTGGCAAAAACTCAATTCTTTTGTAAGAAACTAGACTTAAGTTATATTGTTCATATCTAGTAATGTTCCTTAATCAATACTCATTTATCAAAATTGTAATATTGTTCCTTATTTTCATGCATTTAAGTATAGCTAGTAATTTCTTTTTGTTCTTAAATTGCTAATGTTCCTATTATTGTTCCTGTTCCTGTGTCCGACCCACCTTAAATCCCTGTCCTAATCCTATATTTTTGTTACTAATTCCCGAACAATCTGTTTATTGTTCCTAAATCCATGTCCTAATCCTTTATTTTTGTTCCTAATTCCTGAACAATCTTTTTATTGTTCCTAAATTCCTGTCCTAATCCTTTAATTTTGTTCCTAATTCCTGAACAATCTTTTTATTGTTCCTAAATCCCTGTCAGAATCCTTTAATTTTGTTCCTAATTCCTTAAACAATCTTTTAATTGTTCCTAAATTCCTGTCCTAATCCTTTATTTTTGTTCCTAATTCCTGAACAATCTTTTAATTGTTCCTAAATTCCTGTTCTAATCCTTTAATTTTGTTCCTAAAATTTTAAAATCTAGTTTTTTAGTCTTTTGTCATTAATTTTGACTCTTTTAGAGTCTTTTAAGTAAAAAAAAAATTTTTGTTCCTAATTATTCAATTTTTTGTTCCTAAAAAATCTTGCTCCCCCTCACTTAAATCCTGTATCCGCCCCTGCCACTCCCGTGTTTTTGCCACATTGTTCCGATTTAGAAATTTTAGGGAGAAGTTACTGAAAGAATTTCAAGCATTGTACAGACACTCTTGTGAAAGTACTTCTAGAAAAATAGATCTAAAACAGTTCATTACTAATTAGTGAGCTTTGTGTGGGTATATAATTGTAGATACGTCTCTAAAGGGTCATTGAACTCGAAAATCTGATAAAAAAAATCTGGTGAAAATCAGAATGTTTTGAACAATTTTTGCACCTGAATTCGAACCAATTAAGGATAAAATTTAAGATTAGAAAAGATGAATAATATAATTTCTATTCAATATTTTTTATCTAAATTATAAAATCATGAAAATTCTTTTTATTCTATAGTTAAATGTTCTTCATATTTTCTAAAATACTTCATAACACTTCAAAAAAACTAAAATTTAAAGAATGTTTTTTAATAACTTTAAATGGAAACTATAAGCATGGTAAAGTTTGAAGTTTGAGATGAAAGGAAAAAAATTAGGCAAAAAAAAAAAAATTTAGTGAATTTTGGTGATTTTCCTGGATAAGTTTATACCCAGTTGAAATTACAAGGAGACCTCTTTTTTTTGAGACCAAAATGTGAAGAAAAAAAGTTTCTGAAAAGTTTTTAAAGAGCAATCCCTGTTTAACCCACTTCCCCCTAGGGTTGGTAATCGTTTTTGAAAACGATCGTTTAACGATCGTTTTTTGCTTCGTTAAACGATCATTTTTTGCTTCGTTAAACGATCATTTTTAAAAACGATCGTTTCGTTTTCTCAAAAAAACGATCGTTTTTAAAACAACCCACTCGTTTTGAACTGTTAGAAAACGAAGAACAATCGTTTTTGAAAACGATCATTTTCAGAAAAACGATAAAACCATCTATTTATATTATACAGTCAGTTTTTATATTGTAATGGGATGAATAGTGCCCCCTGTATCCCTAAGTGTACCTGGAGCAAAGTGACCTGAGTCTGACCGGATAGCTAGCTCACACACACATTCAAGCTTAGAGATAATATGGGAAACAGGAGGAGGGAAGATGGATGGAAGAGGGGGGGAGGATATGCCAACATAAATAAATCTTCAATTTTTTGAACGAGCTTTTAATAGTTGTATAGTACTGCCATCTACTTGGCTTAATCTTGTGGACTTTTTTTAACTCTCCTAGGTTTTGAATAAAATCATGAATAAAATCATGAATAAAACATTAAATAAAAATCATGAATAAAAATCATGAATAAAATCATGAATAAAATCATGAATTAAATCATGAATAAAATCATTGAATAAAAATCAAGAATATAATCATTGAATAAAATCATGAATAAAACATTGCATAAAAATTATGAATAAAATAATGAATAAAACATTGAATAAAAATAAATTGACTGGTCCTACATCAGTCTATCAGTAATTCTGATCTTAACCCCTAATTTAACTCAATTCAAATTACATTACATAATTGATTTCTAACTCACTTCGATCTTTCGAACTCAAACCCACCTCAACCAGGGAGTAAGGAATAGAAGGGAGATATAACTGACGCGGTTCGCCGCTTTGCAGACGAGTACTCCATTTGTATATGAAGTATTTGTCTGATGTACAATTACCGCGTATACAATAACCTATTCTGAATATTTCTTATACAAATGGAGTACCGTCTGCAAAGCATGCATAATCATATGGTAAGGCGAACCGCGTCAGTTGTATCTCCCTTCTATTCCTTACTCCCTGACCTCAACCCCAGGAACTATAAGTGCAAGGAAAGTTAATTGCGGTCGCGTATACTCTGCGTACATATTGAAACCAGTTCACTCTGGGCGGAATTTGTAAACAAGAATAGATGCATCAGTGTTCGTTTAGTATACGAGGAGGTTAAAGGCATTTAATTTTGATAATTTTGAAAATTCACATTATAGTTTCCTATAACCAGAATATTTCATATATTATTTTTGTGAAAATGGATTCTATGTCAAGCTGTGACATCCGTATTGTGTTTACTTTTCCGCCCAAAGACAGTTCACTGCAGTACAAAAAATGTATACACCTCTAAAATAACTTTCCTTGCATTAGTACCTTGCCTCAACCTATTATTTGTATTCTTAAATTTTTTTAATTCTTCTAGATCCAATAGTCAAAGGAATATTAAAGGTTTACACTATCAGGCTAAAAACATATTGGAGATTAAACAGTTCGAGTGTGAGACAAGCAAATAGTTTATTTGTTTGTTTTATCCTAAAACTATATTAAACTATAAACAGAATAAAAAGATGTTTTATTTCATAGTTCGACCACTTATTATATTTATAGGAGAGGTTAAGTGTATGAAAATAAAAATGTATGAGTTTATTTTATAAAAAAAAACAGATACATAAGTTAAAACAGCCCAAAATTTTTTTTTACAAAAACGTCCAAGATTTAAATTCTGAGATTAATAAATGGACTGAGCTGAAAACTTTAGAATGTGATATCCTTAATCTTGCTCTCTTAATTAATCTGAAGATTAAAAATGAGAGGAGAACAAGCCATATTTAATCTGGATATTAAGAAAAAGAGTGGATTAAGCCTTAATCCCGATATCCACCATTCTAAAGTTTTCAGCTCTGGAAGGCTAATTTTAAGTATCCGTCCATTCAAAGATTGCAATGTCCGATTTACAACAGTACCCTTAAAAGCTTCGTCTGATCAAATGGGAATTAGATATCCATGTTTCTGTTTATTCAAATTGATTATTTTCGAATCAGAAAATCAACGTTATCTTCCACATTTTAATTCTGATTAAAGGGACAGACCGGCTATGTAAGGTAGTTAAACTGAGTATGCAGTGTTAAGGACAAATTCTTTAGGATTCATTCGAGACATATGAAACTTTGTAAAGATCTGTAAATTCTTAGTTTGAGCGCAAAGTTGACGTTCAAAATCGTACTTTTGGGTGAATACGTATTCAGAATTGTTTTTTTTTAATTATTAAATAACGACAACAAAAAATGTAAACAAAATTCTACAGTAAACTTATTAGTCGTTTATGAACAGGTTGAGAAAATAAAAATTAACTCTTATCATCGAAAATAATTAATCTTGTTCAATTAATTATTTCTAAAATCTTTCTTTAATCACAAAGATTTTCTGCCGATTTTCTGGAATTTTTTTAAAAGACGACATTTGTAGAATTTGAACAAATCTGCGAACAAATTAATAGAAAATAGGAAATTCAATAAAATAATGAAAAAGGAAATGATTAATTCTAACTTCGATGTATTGACAAAGGAGTTGAGTCTTTGTCACAAATTATGGTTTTCTAATCTCTATATCTTTGTAACCCAATGCCGTAGACCTTAGATATTTCAAACTATGAATTCTGTTAGATCAAATAATCTAAGGGTTTGAAATATCAAAGGTGTACACCATCAGGTGGAAAAAAAATATAGGTATTAGAAAATCAGAGTTTGTTACAAAGACTCAATTCCTTTCTTTTGAGTAATATGTTCCTAAACATCTAATTATTTTACAATAGAATTTTTATATTTTTCGTCGTTTTTGTTTAATAATCTAAAAAAACGATTTTGAAAACGTACCCATCCAAATTCATGATTTTGAACTTCGACTTAGCGCTCAAACTCTATATTTACAGATCTTTAAATAGTTTTATATGTCTCAAATGAATCCTAAAGAATTTGTCCACAACACTGCATACTCAGTTTAACTGTCTTACATAGCCGGTCTGTCCCTTTAAGGTTTAAGGGAACTATAGTTTTAACATCTTTAAATTTTGCTAAATCAGCTTTATACCTCTGAATAGAACTCAAGTTAAGGAAATTGAATATTATTATTAATATCTATAAGAGTATTTAGGTGGGAATTGTATCTTGGTAAAGAATATATAACTAGTCTCTATTAGAGCTAAATATATGGATATTTCATGTTAGAATTGTTAATAAAATCGCTTATAACAATATGATAAATTAATCTTTTTACTATCTCTGATCACTCCGAAATCCTCCGAATTTTAAGATCTAGCAAGATTTTAACTCCAATAAGAAATTAGAAGTAAAAACAGATTACTCGAAACAAACTCTTATTTTAGATTTTTTTGTTGCCAAATTCTCATAATGCCGAATGCCGATCACTTGATCTCGATATCCACTGCAGGTCTTTTTAATTCAAAGATCAATGCTAGTGTTTATTTCATGTTATTCCTCAAATATTTATCAGTTATATATCAAAGCTCTCTTTAACCCCTGATTTAAGCTCCATTGGTACAATTACCATGCAGGATATTGAATTAAGATTAAAGTAATCTGCAGATTAACAAAAGATCAAGATCAAGCATTGATATCGATATGCACAATACAAGAGTTCCCAGCTCAGGTTGCAAATATTTAGGGATTAGAAAATAAGAATTTGAGGAGATAATCAATTTCTATTTACCTGGATTGGGATAGGATTGATGTTTAGGCAGCAGGTTCAGGTTCAGATTCAGATTTTGGTTCAGGTTTCAAATTTGATTCTTGATGAGGTTGAGGTTAGCTTCAGTGTTGAAAAATGTATGGACCCTCTTCTTCCCAATCCTACAAGTACAATATATACATTAGATTAAAAAGAGCTGAAAACTTAAAAAATGTGCACATTGTAGAGGATGAAATTCTCGAAAGAGGATTATAAAATCTGCGAAATCAGTAGCGTCGGATTCTTGAACCAGAGAAGACCTACTCGTCTCTCCTCGTTATCCATTTAGGGCTGGGTACGTTCCAACCTTTTTCAAGCCATTTTGTTAATGGTTAGGTTTAACCGTTTTTATAATTAAATCTCAGGTAGCCGTTAGTTTTAGAGGGTAAGAACGAAACTTCGTTTTGTTACGGGTATATTCCGTTATTTCAAAAGATTATGAAATCGTCAACAGTTGTGAAGACAGAAGACGACATTTAAAACACGTAAATTTTATTTCTATTTTAAAGTTTAATGTAATTTTAAATAGGAAAGCAATTCGCCGTTTAAAATAAATCCGTTTCGTTTTTAACTTTTAATTTTTTCAAAGACGGCTAATCCGTTTTGTTAACGATTTAAAAATTAATGGTTTTTGCTGTTTGTTAACAGACTCTTCCGTTTATTTTTGAAAACGTCCGTTTCGTCAATGGAACTTTGCCCAGCTCTATATTCATTATTTGTTTATTTCTAGAAACAATAAATGTACTTCTAAAATATCGAAATAACTGCTTAATTAGTGTAATCTTTTTTTTATAAATTTTAAGATTAATCTTATTTTATATTAATATTCAGAAAAATATCTAAAATGCAAACAATCAGAGTTCCGAACACCCAATCAGAAGTTGAAATTTTATCAATTTTGCGTCCAATCAATTGGAGCACTCTCATTGGTCGAAATCCAGCATGAATGTCCAAAAAAGAGGATTAAGAAGAAAATCAAAAGTGTCCCAGTGGATAACCAGATCGTTTTCAGCTTAAGTAAGTGTAGCGAAGGTAATGTGTGTTCCTCAATCAAGAAAGAAATCCACCAACAAGATTTTGTCAAATCCGCGAATCAGTAGTTCCAGAGACGAAATCCTTGCATATCTATATTCTCATTACGTATGTGAATACTCATACTTCTGGTAATAAATAAACTTTTGTTTTGTTTTAGTAGAGTATAGTAAACTTTAAATCTGAACCATATCTTCACGATATCTTATTGGCCTAGAGTAGTTTTTTGATTGGTCTTACATGTGTTATGTACAGCTCCAAAAGAAATACCCTTAAAATTAACTTGATCCGTCGGGGTCAGGTTAAGTGCTTTCTGATTTGATTTGTACAATACAAAAGTTCTTAACACAGGTTTCAAAAATATAATTTAGACACACTTCCAACAAAAAGTTTCTATTTCCAAAGAAATTGAGTCTTGGCCACAAACTCCAATGTGCTTATCACAATATCATTCCAACCTGATGGTGTAAACCTTTCATATTTCAATCTTTGATTATTTGATCTAACATAATTCATAGTTTGAAATATCTATGATTTACGATATTTGGTTGCTAAGATAAGAAAATCAGAGTTAAATACTTTTTTAAGGCACATATGATCGCACAGATCTAGCTTTTTGCTCAAAAAACTGGTATATTTACTAAAATCGTAAATCTAAACATTTCAAAACAACAATTAATCTGTTTTTGCCACGTTGTTTGATTTGAATCACACAATTCTCATTGCAAAAAATGTTCTCCAAACACAATGAACAGAACAAAGTTTTGTGGCATTTTAATTATTTATATTTTAGACTTATCTTTATATATTTCTATATAATAAAACAAGACATTCGTTTCTATATATATGTTGCCTTTAGCCGGCCAAACGGCTGCACCGATTGGGCTGAACTTTTTTGTAAACACTCATGGGCGGCTTTGGGGTGTCATAGGCTTAAAACATAAACATGGATATCTAATTCATCTAAGGTTACCTACAACGGATAAGTCTTCAGTGACGACAGTACAAAATTAATACTGTCTGTTTTCTCACATTTTTGATTCCCTAGAAGTTTAGAACTGCAAATGTTCAAGGCAAAGAACTTGATTTAATCTCGGAACTGTCAAAATTAAAGAGCTTCAGGTCGTCTTTACAGTCTCATTCTGTGTGGTTAACCCTGTACTTGATCAGACAAATCTTTTAAGGATACCGGACATTGCTATCTTTGCATAGAGGGTCACTTAAAATTTGGCTTACAGTCTCTTTAATCGGTAAACGGGATAGGTATCCGACCAAGCCCAGGAATAATAATGTAGGACACAAAAGTTTGTAGCTCAGGGCCTGAAGTTACATATTTTCTTATTGTGCGTATTAAAGTTGACCTGCATGGAGTTGCTACTGTGTTCTGCATATACACACAATCCTAATAAATGGGGGATATATATTCAGATTTGAAATTTGAAATTTTTACTCCAGTTAACAATAAACACAATACGAAGAAATACAATGTTAGATGAAGAATTTTAAACTTGAATGTATTTAAGTCAATAAGATTCAAGGTTAAATGAGAAAATTCTCTGACTCATGTATTTTTCTTTTTACTTAAAAATAGATTTGGTTTAGATTTAGATAAATAATTGAAAAAAGAAAAACTGGTCAGAATCAGAATTACTCAAAATTCGCAGCAGTTAGTGTTTTCTTTTGTTTTGCCGAAATTTTAATTCTTCTTATCAATAAAAAATTACCATTTCATTTTTAGCTTATAAACTCAATTAAAGTATCGCTAAAAATTAAAAACTGTTGTTCTTAAACCTCAATTTTAATTCATAAATTAAAAGTATCTTATATTAGTTTTATATACCAGCTTGGGAACCCAGCGTTGCCCAAAGGTACTCGTAGTTAATTCCGTCGTTTACCCGCACTTGGTCGATTTTAATCAGGAACCAAAATTCTCGCTATAAAAGTCAATCCAATCAATGCAGACTCTTAAAACCAAGCTAAGAACAATCCCGTGGCTCTCCCGAGTTCCCCAATCAAAATTTGAGGCAAATCCGTCCAGGGGTTCCTGAGTTATGATCGGACAAAAAAACAGTCAAACAGAGATTACAACTTTATATATATACTAGAAATTCAAGGCGCTTCGCGCCCTTCTTTCTAGCCTTAGAGGGCGCTTCGCGCCCATCTTCTAAATTAGTGGTGAACATGTTCTCTTTGTGTACATCGTAAAACAAAACAAAAATAATTCGCGGATTTTTACAAAAAATTTCGCGGATTTTCAAAATTTTTAAAAATTTAATGCCGATCGAATTTTGAAAGAGACAAATATTTGAAATTTTATTTTTTCATAAACCTTCCCTGGGGTCCCTAGATGTCCCACAAAAAATTTGGGCCCGATCGGTTCAGCCGTTTTGACTTTTATTGGATACAAACAAACAAACAAACAAACAGACAAACAGACAGACAGACAAGCCAAATTTATATATAGATATATATATTCATCTTTCCAAACAGTTGGGATCAACGACTTAATTCATCAAAAATAACGTTTTTTAAAAAAATGCCACAAAAGTGTTTCAAGGTTTTAGAAGAATATTTTACATTTTAAACGTGTTAAAAAAAATCAAAATCCGGAACTCTCAATTATTATTCTTATTTTTTCCTATTTTTTATCACGATTAAAGAAATGTAAATAAAAAACATGAATTCAATTGAAATTTATGACAATCGTGAGTTAAAATATTGTCCTTGTTGATAAAAAAAACAAGAACAGTTTTTGCAAATTAGCAATTAGCCAATTTCTCATCATTAATAGAGATCATAAAATTATTTTCAATTGTAATTATGGCAAGTGTATATAGTCGTTATGGCAAGTATAATTATGGCTAGTGTAAACTATGGCAAATGTAATTTATGGCAAGTTTAATTATGGCAAGTGTAACTTATGTCAAGTGTAATTTATGACAAGTTTAATTATGGTAAGTGTAATTTAGGGCAAATGTAATTTAGTGCATGTTTAATTTATGGTAAGTGTAAGTTATGGCAAGTCTAATTTATGACAAGTGTAACTTATAAATTACTGAAAAATATATTTTGTTAAAAACATTTAAATTAACACATTTAAATGAATTTAGAGGCTTCAAATATTTTGATTACAATAATACAAAAACAGGAGTAAATACCAATTGGGCTGATTAATAGAAAATTCAAAGATTTTGAACTTAAAAAAAAAACAATATTTAGAAATTCTTGGATTCATTCTTCTAAATAACTTCCGATACTTAAAGTGATTGCAAAAACACAATAAAAAATGATTAAAGATACTTTTCATTTATAACACACACACTTTTATCTTATCATCTTATTTTCTCTTAGTTTCCAGGTTTGTGTAACCAAGTATATTAATATTCATTAACTTTTATACTTTTGCTAAAAGTTTCTGTAGTTCCTAGTTCCTCACAAACTTTATGTTATTTTCTAGCTTGGAAACCCAGCTTTACATTTCAATCCACTTAGCTCAAAATGTTTAAACCAATCTAAGAACGTTTCCGTTTTTCTACGGAGATTCCCAATCAAAATTTGAGGCAAATTGGTCAATGGATTCCTGAGTTAAATCGGATATCAAAAAACACCAAGAGAGACAGCATACGCACAAACCGGAATTAGCGATGTTTTCAAATGTTTTTACTTTTTTGTTTGTTTTGGATTTAAGGTTTATACAAACATTGGAATATGACGAAAAAATATTTCTGAAACATTGATAAAAAATCCACGAAATAACATTTTTTAAAGAAATAATTACTTGTTGAAAAATGTTTTAATATTTACATTTCACGAATTTTGTACAGGGACTCCGTAGTCCGTACACTTTTGTACAGGGACTCCCTAGTCCGTACACTTTTTGTTGAATTATTGAATTATTGGAAACTAACTTTTTAGTAACTAACAATTTGGTAACTTGACAATTTGGTAACTTGACAATAAGGTAACTTGACAATTTGGTAACTTGACAATAAGGTAAATTGACTATAAGGTAACTTGACAATAAGGTAACTTGACAATAACGTAACTTGACAATAAGGTAACTTGACAATAAGGTAACTTGACAATAAGGTAACTTGACAATTTGGTAACTTGCCAATTTGGTAACCGACAATCTGGTAACTAACAATGTGGTAACTTGACAATTTGGTAACCGACAATTTGATAACCAGCAATTTGGTAACTAACAACTTGGTAACTTGACAATTTGGTAATAAACAATTTGGTAACCTGACAATTTGGTTTACAATAAAATTACAAAATGAAATAAGCAGAAATATTTAAAGTCATATATCATTTCATATTTCATTTACTTCTTGAACATATGATTACATTTAAACTACATACTTATGAGGAAACTTAGATTAGCGCATTAACTGCATCCAGGTACTCCTTTACAGTTGATTCATCCCATTTAGAGCAAATAATCACTATAGTTTCAGTAGAAGTAAATATTTTCATTTACTGTTAGCGCCAATTGAAGGATTCATAACTCTCTTTGGATAATGAGATAGATAGAAAGATAGATGTTACCGCCATGCAATTTCTATTGGTTCAGAATACACAACAAACACATGACTGAACCCTAATTGGATCAGGCGCTAATGGACTCGGCATACAGGAGTGTAATGTAACCATGAGTTGGTTCAAGGTAAACAAGATGTAAAACAGAAATAAATAAAATTATGCATTTATATAGATGGATGTATTCATATAAAGTTTAGGACTTCCTCTAGGGACTGCTTGTAAATATTTATATACATATCTATACACTTAAATATTGGATATATCCCTCTCCAGAATATCATAAATACAAATATGTACATAATACAAATACATACATTAGACTTTTTCTCTTTTTTCTTTTTTCTTTCTCTTTCCATTTTTTATGAGCAAATATGATACATACCTAAATGTTTCTTTTTAATCTTTGTGACAGAAACAATCTCAAGAACTGGCGTGGGTCAACCCAGACCAAAATATATTTTCAATAAATGTGGAACTAACATCTACTTTTTTTTACTCTACAGAGGTTTGGTTCATCACCATCACCGAATTTTAAATATAACCAAACGTTCACGGCCAATCAAAGCCCATGAGACGCTTTACATGGCCACGCATGTGGCTCACTTAGCGTGCATAATCCAAGTATATCCAAGTATATTACAAAGTTAATAATTTTATTTATTTATAATTATTCCTCTCTTAAAATGCAAAATAAAAGAGAAAAACAGCGGGAAAATCTAAACTTTTGATATTAGATGTTAATTTTTTTCCTTGTTTGCCAATTTGTAAGATATAAGTTTGCTATAGGAGGAGAATGTAATATTATTCCTAAAGTTTGAAGGATTTCACAAAACTTAAAGAATAAAAAAACAGTCTTTTCCGCTAAACTTTAGGCATGAACAGGTTTAAATATAGAGATCTTTGAACAAATATTTATATTCCAAAATGTATTCACACAACTTAAAGAGGAAAGGGGTTGGGGGTTTGGAACGATCACCTGTAAAATAAATGACTTATGTTATTTTTTCCCTCCCAATTCCCCCCCCCCCCCCCCACCATGCAGTGCAGTTTCGAAGTTTAATATAAATTTTGCTGTCATGAAAAACTACTCAAGGCTGCATTTATTCATGGAATATGTATGATTTATGTTATATTACTATTACTGGATAGAGTGATCAAAAGGTTTTACTGCATAGGAATTGTTCATAAATTACTAATTGTTAAGCACCAAGCAATCCATCGAAAATAGATCCTGAAACTTTTGAACAGAGCACATTTAAAAGTGTTACGAAAGAATTGAATTTTTGTCACAAACTCTGATTTTCTAATATCTTTCAACCCTATCTCGTAGACCTTTGAAATTTCAAAGTATAAATACTGGTAGATTAGGAAGTGTAAGTTTGAAATATCAAAGGTTTATACAATCAGAAGCCGAATTTAAAGAATTTGATCTGCGGTTTAAATTTAAGCCGAGGCTTAATTATGGTTGGTTTCACTTAAAATTGTATCAAATGTTTCAAGATTTAAGCCGGCGCTCAATTTAAACCTGGTTTTGCGGATTTAAGCCGCGACTTAAATTCTTTAAATTCGGCCTCAGATTATTAAGATTTAAGAATTAGAAAATTTATGTTTGTGGCAAAACTTAATTTCTTTCAAAGAAAAAGATTAAACTCTAAGTGGTTGAGACTTGTTCTTATTTGTACAATGCATAGTTCTGTAAATTGATCTCAGAGCTGAGATTTTAAAAGTAGATTCTTTTCTTTCTGACTGACAAGATCCATATTCAATCAGCGTAAATTTCGAAAATTAATCTTTACATATCTATATTATTTTCTTATTGGGTATATATAAAAAGTA